CGAAGAAAACATGTTGAAATTTGGCAAAAAATTTTTTGCCTGCTTCACGAAACTTACTCATTTTTTGACCGACACGTAAGACAGATCAAAGAAAAACTACCATTGGATGAAGTAATCAATGCGCTATCTGATCATATAATAATAAAAAAGTTCCTGATGTTTTGTAGAAATACAATAACCTGAAGAAAATTGGTGAAAATTAGTGAATTATCTTGTATAGTTTCCCTGTATTTTGAAAAGTTTTCGTTTCGCGAATTACTTCGTTTCTTTAACGTTTCGATTTGCTGGCTTCTTTTCTTCAGTTCAGTTTTGAATTTTCAATAGAACTTCATTAATTATTGAGTGACTTCAACAATGAAAGATAATAAATGTTATAGTTTTGTGCCTATTACTTCGGAATCACGAGTTCCTATTCGAATGAATTGTACTCTTTCGAGTCAATCACTTTAATTCTGTTTCAAGTAGCTATCGTCTTCAGCGTTATGTTCTACTAAAACAATAAAGAATGTTTATTCATTCTACAATGATTTCATCGTTAAGAAATCTGAATTTTGATAAGAAAAAGAAGTTTTTACTGCGCAGTGTTTCTTAATAAATATAAAATAAGTTTTAGTCCAGTTATTCACTTAGTATAAATTAGTAGTGGAAACTGTGCATGACGGAGGAGAAAGAAAGAAAGACACAAATAACAGACAAGCTTGCACCTAATAGAATCAAATCAATAAACCAATTGATATGTACTTTGTACTATGCATATCTGTAGTAATAACATCTCTTCATAAACTTTGACGGTTCTTTATCACACCCGAAAAAAAATGTTTACCCGCCCGAACCCGTGTATTTCATACCCGCCCCGCCCGAGACCCGTATCATTTTAAAAATTTGCTCCCCGCCCCGCCCGCCCGTGGGCTGGCAAATACCCGCGCCCCGTTAACCCCGTATTTAATTAAAATTTGCTTCCCCGCCCGCCCGTCGCCACGTGGCCCCGCGGGGCCCGCGGGGTGAACCCCGTGGACCGTGCATCTCTGATCCCAACCATGTAAGGAGTAAACTATTCTAAGATCAGAACAAAAACATGTTCAATTTGTTTCTTTTGTTTTTCGGTGAAAGAAAAACCATATACAAAAAAGCCATAGAAAATGTGGTAAAGTATATGTTAGAAAAATTTATCTCCTCATCTTAATCTCATTTTTCGGTATGGTATGGAAAATAATTTTCATTCCATTAAACACTTTTCTTACATTTTCCATTTTCTCGAAAATATATAAACTCCAACCGGTGCTTGACTGTAACGATAATTCTTAAATATTTGAATCTTTTCATGTGTTCTATAGGTTGAGATTTATATTCCAATCTCGGATCTTTCGGTGAAACTATACTATGTACCAGGAGTGCCTTCGTCTTGCAAACATTAACAGGTAAGAGAGCATTTTCAGCAAATTCTTCAAATTGTTTCAGATCTATACGTGCTCGTTCTTCAAGTTCTATGACATTCATTAAAAATTTCTTTTAGAGAGAACTAGTAATAACAAGAGCTAGATTGTCTGCAAACAAATGGGTGACGATTTATTCTAATAATTGACTTGGCTTAATTCATAACAGAATATGAAAATATTCTTTCTTTCATAGATCTTATTTGATTCCATTTAATTTTAGTTCATAATTTTCATAAGCAGACAGATGAACAGTCTTTTTTTTCTTATGATATTTCATTTTACGTCATTCTTTTCCTAGCAGTACATATTGATATATTATTTTCTTTTCATACGACATTCTATTTTATCAGAATCAATTCATAAGAACAAACATATATATTCTTTGTTTTTTGTATACAGTATCTTATTTTACTTGATCAATTCATGAGGATAAATCATACTCACTGTTACATGTATTCTTATGAGATCAATTTAGAACGATCATAGTAACAGAAATTAAAGTTCTTTTTTTCATCATATATTTTTTATTTCAATTCAGTAGATTCGCGAAAACAGCTATTGATATAATATGCGACGTAAAAGTCTTTGGGAAAATGTCAAACTCATTTATACCATATTCCCGACTTCTAAACCAGTCAAATATTTTTTTTTGTTAGAAAGCGCATCGTATGAAGTACAAATTTTTGACTAGAAATATTCTTTCAGAACGAGCTCAATGAGGAGAAAAAGCCAAAAAGTAAGCATCTCTAAAAAGTTTCTTGCAATATTTTTCCAACCGGAAAAATCTATATTTCTGAATCATTTTGAGCTACATGGATGGATCAAATTCAAACAAAAATACACCAAAATGTAGCGCATCGAAAACTCTATCGATATCAGCTTTGACAAAATGTTTTAGATCTGTCCCTCATTCTCTAATAAAAATGTTTGAAAAATGAATTTTTTGTAAAACAAACTTTTTCCTGGAAAATATCAATTTGTAAGAACATCAACCACCATCTCCAGAAATTATCCAAGAACTGAATTCTTTTCTCATTATTTATTCGAAACATTTCACACCATAGAACTTTAGCAGGGAAAATAATTCAAAAATGCGGAAACTTCGGATTTAAATCCGAGAGTTATGTGTACTGCAAAAAGTGAATCATACAAATCAATCATCCTAGACTATCTGAGTATCAAAATTATACTGTGAAATCTACCATGTAAAATGTTGATTTCTATTGCGCGTTGCCAAACCAATAGGACATGGGACCGAATACAACTCAAGTTTGAACTCTTTCCCTTGATTTACCCTAAGAAAGTCGTTTTTCCTATAACTTCATTTCTATTGGTCACTGCACAACTAATAGTATTTCGATCGAAGTGCAGTACACATTCGAGTTCTCCATATCTGAAAACCTCGAAGTATCATCAGTGTGACCGGAAGATAAAGCTCTATTTGTGGATCAATTAGATCGTGGACCAAAATATAATCTAGTTCTCTTTAATTATCCTTGTCTTAGGTAAGTCAACCTTCTTGTTTCTTTATGTTTTATGTATCATTTTGTAGTTCTTGAAATTTTCTATCGAATGGTATATAATAGTTGGGGTTTTAATTGACTATGATAGGAAAAGTCTTTTACGAAAGTCGCGATGGGTCCATTTTTCCACAGAAAGCTATAGGGAAAAATGGGTATTTTTGCAATAACTCATGAACGGCTCGGCCGGTCCTTCTCATCTTCGAACTCGACCGAGACATTGTCAAGACTAAGCTGTGTAGAAAGTTTCATCGCAATCTGACTCTGCTGTCAAAAGATATCATGTAAACAGCCAACCGGACGGATGGACACACTGACTATTCTATAGTGAGCTCACTTTTTGAGTACACAAAACTATGATTCTGTTCAAAACTAATATCAGATTCAAAATCAGCGTTAAAAACTGTGTCTATTTATGTATTTTGTGAATAATTATGAGCAAAAAATTTTTTTCGAAAAATCCCCGTCCCCCCCTCAGGGATGGTCTGGTCAAAAATCACAATTTTTTCGATAACTCAGTCATTTCTTGACGGATCCTTCTCATCTTCGAACTCGACCGAGATATTGTCAAGACTAAACTGTGTAGAAAATTTCATCGCGATCGGACTCTCCTTTCAAAAGTTATCGTGTTAACGGCCGGACGGCCGGACATACTGACCGATTCTAGAGTGTACTCACTTTTTGAGTACACTAAAAATCTCGGTTATATTTCTTGTTGTTCTCGAGAAAACCGAGATTTACTGGAAAGTATTGCACTATAAAGTATTTCAAATGGGACCTGCCCCCTCATACTTGCATGGTCCATATCTCCAAAATGGCTCATCCGTTTGAGCTGAAATTTTCAGTTTCTTCCTAAGTCTGTTAGGCCTACCTACTATAAAAATATCAGCCAAATCGGTGACATTGATTGAGCAAGATCCTGCGTAAATGGTCGTGGCTTAGGTGCAATGCTTCCTAGCTACTCTGATCTAGATTTTACCTTAACAACGACGGTCATCGGATGGCAAAAGCTTTTCTTAATGATAGGGAGTATCACTCACTCTCATGAGCGTTTGTGCTCACGCTCACCATGGGGGTGTGGGTGTGGATGTGGGGGAGGGGGTGGTTGTGGTTGTAGATGTGTGTGGATCTGCTATTCTTCATCATCCACACCCACACCCCAACTTTATAAAAATATCATCATTTTTAAAAAAAATCCCTTCTCTGATGAAAAAAAATCAAATTCAAAATTTTGAAAAATCGATTACAGATTCGAATTCTCCGACCCCAATTGCTTTTGATCAAACTTTATAAAAAATCATTATTTTTGAAAAAAGAACTCTTTTCCTGATGAAAAAAGTCAAACTCAAAATTTCGAAAAATCAATCACAGATTTGAATTCCGTGATCCCCAAAACCGTTGGTCAAATTTTATAAAAAGAATCATCAATTTCGAAAAAAACCCTTTCCCCAATGAAAAAAAATCAAACTCAAAATTTCAGAGCCGAGTACAAATTCGGATTCTTCGATCTCGAAAACCTTTGATCACACTTTATAAAAAATGATCATTTTTCAAAAGTTCTTTTCCTTGAACTCTTCGAGTCCCATTGTCTCTTATAAAAGTATCCTTTATTCCTTTATTTTAGCTTTATTTAATAAAGATAAAGGAAGGAAAAAAAACTTATCCTTTCTTTTTTAAAGATAAATGATATATTTATCTTTATTAAATAAAGATATAGGATTCATTTATCTTTATTTAATAAAGTAAGACTAAAGGGCCACTCCTATTCTGAAACCTAAATATGCTGGAAATTGCTTTTATATGAACGTGTTTCACGTCATAGTTTGATAGTCGAGTTCTGATGAAAATGAACGTACAAACTCTACCATACCCACTGGATAGTGTAAAGCAAAGAATCAGACGAATCAACAATCGGTTTTACGTAATCTAATTTCGGTTGATAGAGAAACATAGAAGTCAACGAGTGTTGGAGCACTTGATCTGTAATTTTTATGGATTAAGATTGAAAATATACAAAAAGAAAAGAAAAAAAAGAGAACATGTTTTATATTTTGTAACAACGTCCAAGAGTGGCAGATGATAATTGAAAATTTGCGGGACATTTGTTCATAGATGCGTACATTCCTCCGCATGGTACTTGTATTCGTGGTATATATCCAGCAGTATCAAAACCACATAAGGTTCCCCATAAATCAACCAAAGAATCAACTTGTTTATAGCAACGACGCCAGTTTGAAAATTTTATGTAGCCAATTGGACATCCTTTGGCTGGTGCCTGGACACTGCCACACGGGATATTACTTAAACTATCTCCACACCAGGCTCCCCCTTTGGTCGGCTCACCGATATTATCCATCTGTGCTTTGTAGCAAAAAGCGAATAAACTAACTGTCGATGATAGACCGACATATTGATTGTAACCTTGAGGACAGCTCTCTTGTGGTTTGTGCCCACCACAAGTGACTGTTGAGCTGCTTGAACCTGTCTGTGAGAACACGCCACAAAGTGTACCTTGCGGAACACTATCAGATGAGCAATCGACTCCTAATGGCAAAGAGTAAACATTTTCTACTTAATGATTCGGAATCATGACTGACCTTCAAAGCCACTTTTGCATTGACATTTGCCTACATTGAAAATACCCGTCGGTATGCAAGTACCATATGTAGAGTTTGTGCAGTTATTGTAACAATATACTGGTTGGTTCATGTATTCATCTAATACCGTTTTAATCAATTTTGCTTTGTCTGCAATATGTGTATCCGACGGAAATCGTTGTGTATTGAGCAAATCAACAATAAATTTCATGCTAAATTTTGATACTACTGGATTGTCAGACACTGTCTTGGCCCATGCATTCAAATCCTTGATACTTGGATCGCCTCCAAGACGTGTTGATGTTTCACTTTGTACTTTTTCCATGAATTTGTCGTGTTTTTGTTTATCATATCCCGATGTAACTGTTGTTCCCATCGAAATGTAAAAACCTATTTTGGCTTCATGTTTCGTATTCGTTGATATTCGTAAACGAACGTCTGTCAAAAGAAGGTTATTGTAAAACGATTAGAAAGATAAGACCCCAATGTCGATAAATGCCCTTTATGGATGACTTCTTAATAGTTTCACTTTCAAGCTGTGTCACATCTCGTGTGCGAACGCTCATCAAATCTTGTGCAATACCACCAAGCATAATTTCATATATATAAGCATAACCAAAATAATCGATAATAAAATCATAAACATATCGTTGAACACTTGAATTATAGGTACAACAAGGCATGTTCTCGATCACATAGATGAATTTATCTGATAATGACAGTGTTAGTTCGAACATAGATAATTTTACATATGAAACTTTAGCCAATGAGAAGAACATTGTGGAACTTTGTTTAACAATATTATCAATCATATGTGTTGTTTGCTTGGAATAGCCATAGCTGAATGATAGAGCAGATAATGAACCCCAGCCTTGTGCTGATACTGACACATCAATACCGGTCGATGTTGTCACTTTAAGTTGTTGAAGACTATCAATTTGATCCGTTTGAGCAGATGTTAAAGTTGATGGAAGACAATCAAGATCGACATGATCCGGAATGAGTTTCGATGTACACGAACCTTGAGAAGATGAATTGTATATAAGCTTGAAGATTGGTCGACGGAATTCTTCCATTTGACAATCACCCGTGAAACAGACAGGTGAACCCTTTAGTGGATTGTAACCAAGACCAATCTTATTCGAGTTTTGTAGCCAATTCAATTCTTCTCGAACTTCATTTTCCTGATTATACAAATAGTTACGAACTCTAGTGCTCAAAGTTTGGTAATCTTCGGCGCCGATCTTGTTTCTCCAGACAAAGACTATGAAAAGAAAAAAGAGAATATGAGTATATGAGAACATTGTATAGAAATCCATTTAAAACAGTCCGTCTTATATAGATATGTCAACTCTTTTGTTTTTTGCGTTTCTTTTCATTGTATTAGGAAGTGACAACGTATATTGCGCACTTTTCTCTTGAATTGTCAATTGCGTCATTCCATTCTTTTATCAGCAATAGTGACGACTAAATCTGTCAAGTATCGATTGCTTTATAGCATAGGGAAGTAATAACAGTTTGAGAATGGCGCATCAACAATTTTATCGGCTGTTGTTGAGTCATTTTTTATTTGATAGGCAATAGTCATACACATCATCTACACATATTCTACATTCATGTTGAATTTGTTTCAACAGCAAGGTTTCTGTGTGGAGCTTTCTTTTTCCACATTTGTAATTTGAAATGCCATTGTGTTTTCTTTCTTTTTGTTGTTCTTGTTGCTACCGTTGATCTATCGTCACTAGTGCATGCAGGCACTAATGCTGATTTCCACATCAGATCTAAAATAGAAGAAATGTATAAATGAACGTATATACTTGATTACATGTTACAAAGGCTGATTAAAAAAGGATAAAGGATTGAAACCCAATACACATAATAAAGAAGAGGACTCAAGTTAAGGCTCAATATTTTTCTAATTCTTCTCTTGTTGATATTGTTCTTGTTCATTTATTTTCAATGATATCTATTGCTGATCATATTCCAGGACAGATTGACGAAGATCTTCATTAAACGAGTATCTACTGGAGTTGTGTTGAATTTGAATGAAAAAAAAATTTAAGCTCTTTTCTTACAAATATCTGAGACATAACCATTGAGATGAAACTACAATGTAATATGACGACATTGTTGTTAAGAATCAGACAGTAACAACATCACACAGCACAGCTGAGAGGCTCTAGTAGTGACAGCGAGTACCTATGTGTTATAAAATCGAACAAATACGCTAAAGTACGGGGGTTCCACTTTGTTTCATGATACGCTTTGATGTGTCAAATGCCACAGGGACGTCCTATTTGGACACCAAGAAAATGTGTCTTGCGATCGATCAAAGTAACGATCTGAAGAAGAGGATACTGACCATGAACAAAAATCGCTTCTGAAGTGTATAAAGTTGCCCTTGAGATTTGTTCGAGGCATAACTCGATTGGCATCAGACATCGAAGCTATGAGATAGATTACTTGCTGGTCAGATTCTCATTGTCATTATTTAATTCACATTGTAAAGAATTCATAAGCGAGCAATACTTTGAGTTGAAATTTTACACGACAGAAAAATCTCGTTCACAAAGCTTATCATGGGGCTAAAATGAGAAACTCACATACAATTGCTCTCAGGACCAAAAAGAGAATTTTTCAAGTACAAAGCCCTCTAGAAAAATCAAGAATAGCTGCAGGTAAGGAAATGTTATGTGTTAAATAAGAAGGCTTCTAGTGAATGAATGTTCCTTGTCAACAACTCCATGACTGCCTCTGTTATAAAAAGTCTGATTATTTATTCCAACAAAAGTTCCCTATCGCATCAAGTTTATTCAGAGACACTCGGTTGACTTTGATTACTTAGCACCTAAAACGAAAACCTCTCTAAATTTATCTGTCTACTCTAAAATCATAAGGCAAAAACTGATAAGCTAGCAGTTCACAATATTTTACAATAGATTACGAAAAAGAACAATATTCTGTTCTTGCACAATGTCGTCGAAACAATTCGATCATTGTTCTTATCCTTTCCGCGAAAGTTTCGAAAAAATTTTTTATTTGATTGATCTGATCCTCAATGACATGAATGTCATTCTTTATTGATAAAATGTTTTCTGTCACGTTATCAGAAACAAATATTATGACCCAAATCTTTCCTGGATATACAAGCATCATCAACGATATTTTGTGAAAAACGGAAGTACAAGAAACGACGACACTTTCGAGTCAATCTGTATAAAAAATAGTAACACTGTCAGAGTCAAATCATTTTCTATTCGCGTTGTACGCTAATCAGTATGTTGATGCTCCTATTCATCACCATCTGTCTTCTACCAACGGTCTACAGTGACCAAACAATCAATTACGATGTACCCATTCCATGAGGCATGACATCAAATGATTTTGTACAATCTATTGTCGACTACTGGACATTAGAGCGAATGGCCGATGCTCAGTCGAAAGATGTGCTCGTCATCGATCAAGAATTATCTGCATGGTTCTTGACTCGCCATCCACGCGAGCCTCGCTCGGATGCTCTCCAACGATCAGTACCAGATACGGCACCGTTGGGAAACGTTACTCAATCCTCATTGTTCCCAGAAAGTAGATGAATGACTCCTCGAATCTCTGGCAAGCCCTTTTTTGTGATGAACGGCCGCAACTACTTATGCTCAGGCTCGCTAGTTACCAGATCAAATCGTGACACTGTGATCACTACTGGCCATTGTGTTTACGATTATGATTTACACATGTGGGCCACCAAGTGGATCTTTATACCTCAATATACCAATGGATCAGCATCGCTAGGTACGTGAGTGGCCCGTCGTGTCGCTACGTTATCAAATTGGGCCTACTATCATGATTTCAACTTGGATGCTACTATTGTGTTAATGAGTGCCAATACTCAAGGAAATCACATTCAACAAGTTACAGGTGGTCTTGGAATGGGTGTGGGTGTGGGTGTGGGTGTGGGTGTGGGTGTGGGTGTGGGTGTGGGTGTGGAGGGG